ATAAACTACTACTTTAGAGATAAGTATATATCTAAAAAGTAAAATAAATATAAATCTATACAGATCTATAAAAATATAAAAAAAATGTAGATTTTTATAAAATTTTTAGTAAAAATTTGCAAAATTTTGTAAATTTATAGATTTGTACAGAATTGTATTTAATTTCTGTATCTATCAGTAGCAGACTTGAAGATTTGCATAGATTTTTATTAAATTTATTATTTAATTTTTTGCAAATTTGTACAGAATAGTACTAAAATTGATTTTTTGATATAGTTCTTTAATGAAACAAAAATTATATCTTCCTCTTTGATACTATTTCTTAAAGTTTCTAAATAGCTATATTCTTGTTATAGTTAGTATACAAGAAGGCTTAAATTATACTACCTATAATATTTGATACCTTCTGGCAGAAATATATTAAAATTTACTTGCAGAATTACTTCAAATTTCTCTAGAAAAAAAAAAAAGAGAAAATCAATTTATAATTACTTATCATATTCTCTTAATATCTCTATGAATATCAATTTTATAGAGATAAAATATATAATATCTACTCACAAGAATCTACTCTATAACTTTTATTATAGTATATCTTAGAGCAAAAAATACTTTACTAGCTCGCAAAATACCTTCTAAATATTACTATATTATTTTCAAAATGATTTATATAGAGAAGATCTAAAGAAGAGAAAATAAATATAGTTCTGAAAATTTACAAAAATTATCATATATTATTACTCTGTAAAGGATTTTAATATTTCAATATTAGTTAGAATTATAGAGATCTGCTTTACAACTTTACTTAAGATCCCAAGATAAGATTATATAGTACCAAACCCTTCTAGAATAAGATTTATGAAATTGATCTGCAAAAAATCTTTTTCTTACTATATCATATAGACAAAAATATTTTGAATATTTTTTTTACTTCCAATATAGTAGATAATCTTCATGAAACTCATTACTTTTAAGTTACAATATACCTATAGTTATTAAAGAAAGTGAGTTTTTGAAACAGAGATACAACTAAACTCCTCAACATCTTATAAAGTTTATAATAACTTATCTTAGATATATAATTTGAATATGTTAATATGATATTGTAGATTTATATATTAGATAAATCTATACTTAATTTACTTGTAGTAATTGAATTAAGACATTATAAATATTATATTGAATATTATTTTATATTGAAACAGTTTGCTACTTCTGAGTAAAAGTTAGCTGATAGTAAGAATGTCATTACTCTTTACAAAAGACATTGAATAAAAAGACTTACAGTTTGTCAATTTTAAGCAAGATATAACTAGTAGTTTTTTAGCACTTAATCTGTAAATTCCTTATACTAAATTTTCTCAAAAATTTTTTTAATAAAACTAAATTTCTTCAAAATTTATTAAGTAAACCAAGCAAATACTCTTAAGTAAACTTGCTTTACAAATAATTTTATATTTTAGTAGTCTAGTTTTATAACTTTTGCATTTTTTAAGCAAAGTTATATTCAAAAAACTAAAGGCAGCTAAATTTTAAATTTATTTCAAAACTAGCTTCTAAACCTCTTTTGTACTCTTAAGTAAAATTTTTGGCTAGCCTTTTTCAGTTATAACAAAATCTAATTCATCTTTTTAGCATAAATATTAAGCTTTCTAGAGTCTCAAATAGTTTTTAAAAATGTCTATAAGTTTTATTTTTACACTAAAAAAATTTTCTCTTTCTGTCACACAATCTCTAACCAAATTGGTATAAAATTATAACTATTACATAAATTATATCTTGCCAAATTTGTTTTTATTAAATTGATACAAAATTTATCTTGTATAAAAGATTTGTAATTTGATTACAAATTAAATGCATCAGGAAGTAGGATCGATTTTCTATTCACATGACTTCTGACCTAAATTTGGAATTGGAATTATGCACCTACTTACATTAATTTTCATTCAACTAATTCATTAAATTTAATTTCAGTACACATAATTATGTTGTTAAAATAATAAAAGAGTAAAGTCCATATTAAATTCTAGTAGAACTCAAATGCAAATTTCATCTGCATAGTGGGTTTCACTTGATTATAAAATTTTTTTTTTATCGCATTTATAAATTAATGTTTCTTATAAATTTAGTATTAAACAAATAAATCAAAGACTAATCTAATAAATTAAATTGATTAATCAGCAGTGTTAAAATAATCAAGTAAAAATTAAGAAAAGCTTTATTAAGTATTAAATTAATTTCTTTTAAACAAGTTAGAGAATAATTATAAACTTCATAATTTAGAAATAATTAAATAAATTAAAATAATAAATGTAAATAAACTAGAAATTAATATACAAATAAAGAAAATCTATTAATTCTGTTCTATACAAATTTTAATGTAAAATTTCTGTTCAATATGTCTTCTATTTACTGTATCTAGTAAATGCAATAGCAATTAAATAAATTACTAACATTACCTTGAGATTCAGACTATTATCTAAAACTATGTAGTATGCATAAGTTTTTCAGTTTAATTATTATAATACACAAATCTTATTTTTAATTAAACTCACTGTTACTTGATGTATTTGAATCGACTTTATGATATAAAAGCCCTAAAAAATAAAGCCACTGATTAATAAATTAGAAAAAGATCCTAATTATAACTACTTATCGACTCATCAAAAAAAATTCACTTTAAAATTTATTTCAATATTCGATAATTAGTTCACTTTTAACAAAATAAAAGATTGAGTTTAGTTATCAAGTCTTTTTGTTTTTTTTGTAATTATTAACTTTCAAAATAAAAAAAATAACACAACCTCTCAATATTATACTATAATGCCTTTCTGCATTTCTTATTCGCATACTCTTTTTTCCACTGAATTTATATATGAAGACAAAAGCTATAAAACTTGTGCTAGATGTATGACTAACAAAGCTATCAAAAAAGATAATTTAGATGAAAAAACCATAATCAAAGCAATTTTTATTCAAGATATTAGTGATTATATCACTAATGCAATAGCAAATTTAGAATATTGTTTAGAACTTTCTCTTATCTTTCATATTCAGCTTGATGAGATTACACTTGGTATTGTAAGTACAGATGTCAAAGCAATGACTATATTAATAATCAATGAAATTGAGAATGGTGATAAATATAATTGAACCACTACAACTACACTAAATCTTTCATCTTATTATATTGGTATTGGAAATGCATATTATATATGTTTCCAAAGTTATGAACTTGAGCATGAATATAAAAACTCAAGCAGAAAAAGAATTTCTCAATTTAATTGTAATGATAAAATATCGATCAAAATTGATATTCTAGCAGCAAAAGCTAAAGTAATTTTAAAACACAAAATGATACATAAGAAATCTGATGATATTGCAGTATCATTAGAAATAAAACAAGAAATTGAAAGAAATTTAAACCTAAATCTAGTAGACTTACAAACTCACCTTCATAGTAAAAATTTTGATATATCAAAAATTATATATAAACAAATTCATTATTAATGATCATATTATGTACAATGGTTCTATAAAACTGATGAAAATCATATTATTTCTGCACAAAAGTTTTTTGAACAACAGAATAAAAATAATTGCAACTTATGTTTTCAACTTGAAACTGATAACATAACAGCTATTAGTTTTACTACGCATTTATTTTCAGTAACACAATATACAGAAGTACATTGTGATGCTACTTATAAAACTGCTAAAGGTCAATTCGAACTTTATAGAATTGTTGGTAATATAGAAGGTGCAGGTTAGCAATTTATTTTTCGATATAAAAAATATTAAATAAATGTAAAATTAGATATTAAATATTTTGTTTAGCATATTAATAAAATTATCACGATAAATTTATAAAATTTGAGTATTTAACTAAACTATAAAGTGTATTATTTATTATAAATTCATATAGATAATATCTAATCTATCTTTTTATAAAAAGATGAGTAAGATATTATTTATAAGATTTTACAATAATAACAAATAGTAAATAATACACTTTATAGTTTAGTCAAATACTCAAATTTCATAAATTTGCTACAATATGTAAAATACTAATATTTTTTTATATGATATAACTTATAATATTCTATAATTAAGGTTTTCTATTAGCATATTTAATTTTGGATATAACAAAAACTAATAATTTGAATTAAGAAAAGTTACGTACCAAAGCCCTTATAGGTTTTTTCTTTGCTCTTCGTAATAGTAGCCTAGATCTAATTTATTTTTATACAGACAAAGATTTTGCAGAGATTAATGCTACAAAAGAAGTATAGCCTATGACTAATATATAGCTTTGTCTATAGCATATCGAAAAGATAATTAAGAAAAAACTTAGAAGTCATAAAAAAATTGAATACATAAATTATAAACATAAAGAAGTTGCAAAAAAATTTTTCTTCATCAACCCTTCTTTTATACCAGATTTACAATGCAAAAATAATAATATTATATTGTTTGTCTACCTAATCTTTGTGAAAATGTTATTAATATAGTTAGAATCTATTTTTATTTATATCCTAAAATTTCTATTAATGCTAATAGACAATTTTTGTTATCTAATAAAATAAGAACCAAAGCAATTTTAAAAATATATGAATTTTGCAAAGTAAATAATCAGTAATACTCTGGACTTACTTATGGTCTTCTTGATATAAACCTACAAGGTGATATCTTTGAGCATGATCCACTCAACTAATAATATCACTTAGTAAAATCAATATGAAAATTAAAGAATATTGGCATGTTTTAAAATATTGTTACCTTCATCAATTTAGTCGTCCACACTTTGACTATCTTATATAGATAATTAATTCTTGTGTTGTACCTGATCAAACTAATCAGCTTCAACAATTGTTACTTGATAGAGTAGTACTATCATGGTTTGATGAATTCAGGAAACAGTAAAACAATTGTCTAGCAAAACCATTCAGTAATATTGAAGGTCACAATTTTACTAATTTGAAATATTGGATTTGCAACTATCCATTTTTTTTTCAAAATTGTTTTCTTATATGTAAACATCTAATTCACTAAGTATCAAAAAAAGTAAAACCTGAAAGCATTCGATTAGTATATTCAAACTTTAAACGACAAACTGATTATCTATTTTTGATCTGGAATGGTAATGAATCGCAAATTATATCAAAGAATACTAGAAACCTTATAATAAATAATTCTGTTAATATAATACAAATGAAAGATATGAAAATATTACAGAAATATGTCAAATATTAGAATCTAAGGTTGCTGCATTATAATGTTTAGTTGACCACATTAATGAGGAGTTTGTCGTAAATAATCTTTAACATATAGAAGCAATTATTATAAATTTGGATTGTACTTTTACAATTTTGTCAGATATTGAAAGAGAGAAAACAAAAAATTATGAAGAACAACCTGGCGTGGGTCAAAATCTTGGACTATATATTTAAATAATACTTAAAAATAACTTTTTTATTCATTAAAATATAATTACAATTGTTTGTTATATAGTTATGTTTTGTGCTAATTCATAAATTTTATTATTGTTACCTATTAATTAATAATATATAAAATAAAAAACTTGCAAAATAAACTATATATTATATTAAAATTCATTAACTAGAATAGACTTATCTTTAAACTCGAAAAAAAGGCTTATATATAATAAAAGGTGCTTCTCTTTTTAGCAAACTTTTTATTTTTATTTAACCAAATAGTAGAGCACAGAACTTTGTCTGAGCTCATACGAAATCTCTTCATGCTTTGTAGTTTTCAAGGTCAAACATGTATCGATATAAAATTTGTATGTACATACGTATATATATACTGTATAATATTAATCATAGAGCAGAGATCACATGAACAGAAAATCAATCCTACACCCTGTCAAATTCTTACAAATTTTTTTAACTATTTTTAATTTTTATAAATATATATTCTATTCTTATCAAATTCTATTTCTATTTTTAGTTACTTTAAGCCTTACTATTTATAGTAAAATTATATATATTATATTATATACTATCTTAGCTATATTAGTCATACTAGCTATACTTGTTAAATAAATCACAAGTGTAGTATTATTTGAATAACATTATACAAAATAAATTTTAGCATATCTCAAAGCTTACTTTAATTTTTTTAATTCTAAGATAATTTAACTATACTTTCTCTTATTACTGAAGAGTCTGACTTCTATAATATTAACTATTATTATAGCAAGTATAAAGATTGTCATAGTATTAGTATATCTGAAGCTAAACTAAAAACTTTATAGATTATTACTAATTGAACTTTTTCTGATAATCACTGAAAAACAACAATTGAAAGAAAGAAAAAATAATAACTACTATATATACTGCTACTAATAATTAAATAATTAACTAATATTTTAGATACAAGTTCAATACTAAATACAATATTGTTCAAAGAAATTCAAACTAACAACTCTAATAAGAAAAAAAGTCCTTACAACAATGCAAGCCTGTTCTTTAAGGATCAGGTCATACTCAATTATACAAAAAAGCTACTTAGAAACTCTAACTAACTTATACATATTCTATTAACAGATAACAAAAAAGTAATAGAAAGTACTAGTAATAACAAAAATAACTAAAACAACTACTCCAAAAAATAGTGCTTTGACAACTCAACTTTTCGCAATACAACACAAGGAGAAAAAAGTAGACAAACTAGTTTACCCTTTCAAAATACCACATTACATTATATGCACCTAGCATAATAATAATAACAACTGAAAATAGATACAATAATACAAATATAATAGTCACAGAAAATCACAATATGGCTAACAACTTAAATAAGTAACTAAATATAGATAATCAACAAACATTTGCACAACAAACTAAGCCACATACAAAATACTCAAATGGTCCTAATAGTAATAATCCTAATATGATAACTGAAGAATTAACAACTATTAACTATAACACCAACATGCAACAACTAAAACAACTCTAGCTTTCCTATAGTCAGACACTTAAACAAAATACTAACTTAGACATGTTGATCTTTAAAGAAGAAATATTAGTCTATACAACTAATAATCAGAAAAGAAAAAAAGATCCAAACTTCTTTTAATAAAAAAATCTAAACTAAAGACAAAATTATTGACATACTCGATAGCTTAACAAATCTAACTGAATTTCTCTTACATAAATTAAACACAGTACTAACAAACTATGATATCTCTAAGGCAATCTTACTTAAATTTGACTACAGAGACTTTGCTTTCTTCAAAACCTTCACAAACAAGAAAAATATCATACCTGCATACCAAACAGAATTTAATGACTTATTTCAAAATACAATTAAATCATACAAACTCAAAAACAATATTACACTCACTAATAAAGAAACCTAAGATCTAATACAAACCAAACTTCACCAAAAACTTACAACTGACTACTTGTTAAACTTCAACTTTAGAATCTTAAAACTATATCATCCCTTCCAAATATTCAAGTATTGTAGAAACTTCATCAAGACAACTCTACTTGAAAACCTGAAAACTATACTAGACACAATCTACTAAATCCATACCTTCCTTCGTATAATCCTATCTAACAAACCTAAACTAATCAACAAAGAAATCTTAGAAATACTTCTCTTTGAATTACCTATAGTAAAAAGATCACAAACTAAAGCAATTACTAATATTTTATATACTATTTTCAACTTTAATACTCTACTAGAGACATATTTTATTACTTTACTTCAGGTACTAGATAATCCCATACAACTCAAAAAAGAACTCAAGAAGTTCTTTCCTATAACTGACCCTAGAGCACTTAAATATCTAGAATATTATCGAAACAAACTAGCTAACTATTACAGTTTAATGAAAATTTTATTAACTTACTTTGATCTACTTTTATCTAAAGAACCTCTATCTCTAACCTACTACTAACTAAATAGTAGAATTAGATACTTATTTCTAATCAATCCAAACTACTGTGAATTTACTCTGCAATAAGTAGTAGAACTACTATGCAACTATTATTTCTTCAAGAGAATACCTAATGATTTCTTCAAACAGAAGCCTATACTACCAACTGATCCAAAGAAAATTAAGACTATCACTCAATATATTTATTTAATTACTGATTATAGTACAGCAAAAGACTTTTTACAAGAAGTCTTACACAAATATAAAGTCAGATTTTCAATTCATACTGATATTATAATAGCTAACCTTACTGAGAAATCTAAATTATTAGACAACTTTCAAGATATCTCAGAATTTAATCTAATATTTCTAATCTTTATGTCTCAACAACTTATACATATTGCAAGACTACTTCGTATACAATACTATTTTAACAAAATTCCAAACTTCTAGATAAAAATTGATCAAGATAATATACAACTAACTAATATAAACCTACAAATTATCTAATAAAAATTAACTAGTATCAAGACCTTGTTGTAAAAAAAAAAAAAAAAAAAAAAAAAAAAAAAAAAAAAGTCATAAAGTTGTTGTATTGTTTAGATATATGTTTGTTGATATTGTATTTATATGCAAGATTGTTCTCTAGTTTACATACTTGGAATATAGTTTTTTGGTATTGTTTGAGTATTGTAATATACTCTGATATAGTAGTTATTAATGCTGATAGGTTAGGCATTTGTAGAATATCTAAATTTGCTAGCTTGTTTATGTTAGTAATATTCGAGTAGACTGTAGTAATTAAATCTGAGTTTGGATTGTTTTTGAGTATCTGTATAGTCGTATTAATTTTTTGAAGTAC